TAATTCAACTCGGGGAATTTGACCAGTAACCTATTTTTTAAAGAAAGTTCAGTTAAAAAAAGTCTGTAGGCTCCCCCCATAACCTCTAGTTGAAGAAAAGTAAAAATCATAATTCTTCATTTCTAAGAGGTGAATAAATGACAATCCCAAATTCCTCCTCCAGCCAATGCCATCGTTGACATTAAATTGAACATAACCCCTTCAGGCCAAAAGGCACTGAAAAAAAGCCTAAGAACTCGGACAAAGTTGTGAGAGATTCACAAAACGATGATAAGAGCCATTTAATGAAAAATATTACAGGAACACATGCTCTGCCCCTGATAGTTTTTCTGTGAAACCTGAAACCCCACACACCACACTAAGTTTCTGAGGGGGGAAATTTCACTGCACAAGGGCAAAACCTCAGCATACCTGTTCTGATCTGAGTGTGAAAGTAACACTTCACCCTGCAGTCCCACCACCCACCTGCCCTGGGGCCTCTTAGCTTCTATATCACTAAGCCTTACTCTTTCCCTTAAAATCCTCAGGGAAAAGTAGACTCAACGAACAGAAAATAACAGGACACTATTTTGTCCCTAAGGCAGAAGGATAAGCTACGGCCTAAGATTCCAGGCCTGGAATACTAGGAGTATGTCCAGGTAGCCTCAAAAAGATTACTGTTCTTTTGCTCACGATCAAAGAGCACGTCAATATTATGCCAACAAATTTCACACCCACAACGACACTGCCTGTGACGCCTGGAAAGAATAACCCCGGCCACCAACTCTGCTCTTACCCTATCAGTGTCCCTCAATGAAATAAATACCAAAGAGTGGAAGTGCCATGGCCCACCTGACTTTAGTAGTAAATTGGACACCGGTCTTGATGACCAACGGCCGGTCGGGATGCATGGGCATGCAGGGCTGCCGCTCAACCACGAAGGCACTGAAGGAAAAAGAACAGAGCTCACACGGACTGCAGTGAGCGGTCGTCCTCCCTCCTGTGACGTCAGCCCACCTCTCACTTCAGAACGTGATTTTCTTTTTATTGGGGCGGGGGGTGGGAGGAAGGAAAGGGACAAGGGTTCTAAGGTACCTTTTCATCAAGTTTCTAAACAGTTCCACAATCCTCTCCTCCAGCATCGGTCTGTGCTGTACAATAGGGTCCCCTTTGTAGGAAACTTTCTGCTGCAACTCCTCCAGTTTCTTAATTTGTTGGCGGGTCTGAAGTTGAGATTCTGCTAATGAGGTTATCCTGCCAAGAAATTAAGAAAGTTACCAGCTACCTAAGTGACTGCACACAGGTAAGTGGAGGAAGGGAAATGGAATACCATAGACAGAAATATCACTAAGAAGTCCCCTGGAATAAGAAAGGGCAATTTTTTTTATTGTAGTAAAATATACATAGCACAAAATTTACCATTTTAACCTTCTTGAGTGTACATTACAGTTCAGTGGCATTAAGAAAAGGAAATTTATTTTGCCTTTTTAAATTAGTTCCTTCCTAAAATTTCAAGTTTTTAATTGGGGGCTGGGCATAGAAGAATAAATGTTACAATTTATACCACGAGGAGGTGGCATTAATGGAGTGATCACTGGAAAGTGACAAGCATCAGAGCTCAGATACGGAGAACATGAACCATGGAACTTGGCACTTCCTTGCCTCATTCCAACTTGTCCACGTGGACCAAAAATGTGCAGGCTGAGGGCAAAATAGGAGAGTAGACAGCCAAGAAGACTTGGGTTTGGGCCAGCTCCCCCACCGTCTGCAAGCGAGGCAGGCCCCTTCATCACTGTGGAACTTAGCATCCCTCTGCATGGAGAGAAGGGGTCGAACGGCCCGATCCCCAGTTAGCATCGACATCAGTGGATGAAAGGACATGACATTACGTTTCAAAACATTATCACAGGCATATAGAAAAAGTAAACAGAGAAGGAGACAAAGCTGATTGTGTCTGTCTCCAAGAATAGAGAATACTAGTGTCTCTCTTTGATGATCCACCGCTACTTTAATAAAGACTAAAATACCTCACAGAGAGAAAGTGAAAGGACGGGGAGGAGGACAGCTGTAGGAAATTCTGAGCTCCCCGACTCCCTTCTGGCACCTCCATCCCCCTGTTCCCAGAACTTAAGCTTCTTGGTTTCCTGATCAGGAAGCATTTAAAACTCCCTTCAGTAAATTAACAACACTCAGGGTTAGTGAGGACATGAAGAGACAGGCATTCTCATGTGGAGTTGTCCTAAATTTCCAGTGTCATGCTCCATGTATCTGGGTTCCCCCTCATGTCAAGTTTCTCCTAGTTTAAGCTGGTGTAACACGCTCACTGGTGGGCCTCGCATGTGTGAGGTGTGCAATACAGATTTGCTGGATGGGCTGGGCGCAGTGGCTCACGCCTGCAATCCTAGCACTCTGGGAGGCTGAGGTGGGAGGATCGTTTGAGGCCAGTTCAAGACCAGCCTGCACAACATAGCGAGACCCCATCTCTACAAAAAATAGAAAAATTAGCCAATCGTGGTGATGTGCACCTATAGTCCCAGCTAGTTGAGAAGCTGAGGCAGGAGGATCACTTGAGCCCAGGAGTCTGGGGTTGCAGTGAGCTATGATGACACCACTGCACTCTATCCAGGGCAATAGAGCAAGACCCTATCTCAAAAAAGAAAAAAAAAAGATTTGCTGGATGAAAGTAAAAAAAGCAGTTTACAGAAGAGCACATAAAGAACACTTCTGCTAATGTAAACTTTTTCTATCTTTATACATATTAATACATAAATATAATGACAGATGTCTAGAGTGACGGGTCACCAAAATTTTAACTACTGGTACCTCTGATGATTAGATTTTACAAGATTTTTCTTCTCTTCATTAATTTTCTGTATTTGAATTTTTTCCCCTTATAAAGAGCATATAGTTGTTTTAAATGATTAAAATACTTAAAATTAAAAATGTAGTCTATGTATTAAGTACAGTTAAACCAAAAGCCTTAAGTCATTAAATAGAATATATTTCAAATATAGTAACATAAATACATTTTTATAAGAAAAATTTGTCCAAATAAATTAAAAACTTTAACTCTTGGACTAAATTTGAATATGTAAAAGTCCCCTTAGAGATATAGTACTAGCTCTGTGGGCCTGCAGTTATGATCATAATTCAACACAGCTTTCCAGAAGGAAAGGAGAAGCTTCTCTTTCCTCCTTTACCAGTTTTCTAGACGATCTAGGCAGATGTTGGGAGGGCCCCCGATGCAAGCAATCTGCTGCCGCCTCTTCCAGTCAGCCAGCTCTTCATCCGTGAGGGTTTTCTGCACATACTCCATCGCTGACAAAAGCCCCGCCAGCTCACTCACGATGCTCTGGTTGGAAACCAAAACAAAGTCAGAAAACATTTTCTCAGATCGTCTCTAACCACATTCTTTAGTCAATTCCAGAGAAGGAACTTCCTAGAAACCAAGCAAGTTCTGCCACAAGATGCTGAGATCCTGCAAGTGAGCAAGACACGGGGGAAGCGGCCCAACCCCCTTACCCTCCGCATCTGGTCCAGCGCCGTAAGCATCTGCTCGAGCTGCTGCATCTTCTGCCTGGTCACTGACTGGTTGTTTCCGTTGAGATCTTGCATGTCTGGGGAGGAAGAAGAAACTCCTTGACCTGCGGGAATACTCCTAACCTGATAACCAGGCTCCACTGGGCACCCGGAACTCCCTTGTACCCCGCCCACAACCATAAAGGCTACACACAGAGTCGAGACAAACAAGTCCTTAAACTCAATAACACAAACTCACTTTCTACAGAAGATTTTAACGTCTCTAATATTCACTTGCCTCCTTGACTCTTGAGGGTTTTATAGTTGAAATCAAAGTCATCCTGGAGATTCTCTACCACTTTCATTTTCTGTTCTAGATCCTGTTTAAAACAAACAAAAACAGAAGTAAAAAAAGATTTCCTTGGGGAGAGGGAAAAGAAAGTTTCTGAGGAGAATTAACATGAAGCCGAGACCTTAAAAAAGGTACATGCAAGACTCGCATGCAATGTCCCCAAGACAAGGCTCCCTGCCCAAGACGTGTCTCACCTGCACTCTCTTCCGTACATCCTGGAGGTGCTGCTCCAGCATCTGCTGCTTCTCCGTCACCACGGCAGCTGTGGGATGGTTGGCCTGGCCTCCTTGCTGCCAGAAAGGGGGTCAACACACATGTGAACACATGAAATATGGGTAGAAAAATACCTCTGTCCAGTCTCTGTCCCACCCTACCTACCCTTCCTGCTTGGCTTGAGATGCTGCTGCCACCACGAGAGCAAGGGAAAAAGAGGCCGCGGTGCTGTCAGTGTGGGCCCAGGGCAGCCCTCATGTGGTTTTACCTGTGTCACTGACTTGTTTCCAACAGGTCATACTACAAATCCACTCTGTGTACTGTACCAGGAAGCCACATGTTATCCTAAGACATGGTCCCCACCTTCAAAAAGCTCATGGGGCCAGGTGTGGTACCTCATCACACCTGTAATCCCAGCACTCTGGGAGGCCAAGGTGGGAGGATTGCTTGAGGCCAGGAGTTCAAGACCAGCCTGGGCAACATAATGAGAACCCGTCTCTACCAAAAAAAAATTATCTGGGTGTCATGGTACACGCCTGTAGTCCTAGCTACTCAGGAGGCTGAGGTTGGAGGACCACTAGAGCCCAAGAGTTCAAGGTTGCCGTGAGCTACGATTGCACCACCGCACTCCACCCTGGGTGACAGAATGAGACCCTGTCTCCAAAAAACAAACAAATGACAACAACAAAAACATCTACAGTGGTAAAAACAGTATGGTAGCAGCCCAAGGACTGAGACAGCAATCAATGGAGCAGAACTGAGAGTCAGGGAAAGGCATCATCCACCTAGTTTTCCAAGCTAGAAATCCTCCGGGCTCTTTGATTTCCTCCTCACTTTCACACTGAGTCACCATTGCTCCTGGCTCTATACTCTGTAATCTCTCAAATCCATCTCTCCCACCAGTGGCTCAGGCCCCAACTGTTCATCTCTTTGCCTCTAATCTCTCTCACATCCAGTCTGTTCTCTGCACTGCTTTAGATGTCTCCAAAAATAGATCTAAACACACCAGTTTTACAGGGAACCACCCTCTCCCTTTCCCGTGATCCCTATCCACACCAACAGAATACAAACTTCTTACAAGTTCTAGGACGGCAACTCCCAACCCTATTTAATTTCCCTATAGTGGGAGGGACTCCTCTGATAGCAGAGATGGAAAGACAGATCTTGTGCACACACAGATCTCCGAAGAGCCCAACACTTAAGTTGGCACCTCCCTCCTCTCACTCTTGCTTCCTGGGCACACCTGAGGCAGGAGCGAGGGCCCGTTTCTAGAAGCAGTTCTAGAGGCCTGTCCCTCCGCATTCAATGGGTTTGAGTCTATGGCTGCTGAAACTCCATGTGGATGACGGGGGAGGTGCTGCTTTGCAGACTCCACCTCTCCACCCCAAGGTCTAACTCAGGGACAGGCACTGGGAAGCCCCTATGGTTACCAGCTCAAGCCACGCTTTCCAGCCTAGTCTTACCAACAATACAGCTGCTGCTTTGATCTACATTCCACTCCCGTGTCTATTTCTCAACTGCTACTGCACTTACAGGGGGAAAACAGATGTTATTAATTATCACCCACAGAAACCCACCTCTTTGTAAAAACTTTACTGGCTCCCCACTGCTTCCAAGCATAAACAGCTCAGCCCCGAAACGAAAGACATTTCACAACCTGATAACAACTTAAACTTTCCCTCCCTGAGCCTCAGTCGCCCTAAACTACCCACTCTTCCCCACATACAGCCTGTTTCCACACGTTCCCTCCCCGCGTGCTGTCTACTCAGCCTGGCGTGCACTCCTGCCTAAGCACACCTGAACTCATTCACCTTTAAATTCAGTCCAAATGTGCACTTTCCTATGAAATCTTATTCAACTTCCTTAGACAAAATGATACACATCCTCCTCTGTGTTTTCTCACTCTGAGTGTTTGTGTACTTATAATCCCAACTAGCCTGGGAGCCCCTGGGTAGCAGGGATCACATCCATTCTTCTTTTTAGCTTCTAGAGCTTTTATCCGTACTAGACACTTAAGAACATGCCAAGGCCAGGCAGAGTGGCTCATGCCTATAATCCCAGCACTTTGGGAGGTTGAGGCAGGAGGATCACTTGAGGCCAGGAGTTTGAGACCAGCTTGAGCAACACAGTGAGATCCCACCTCTGTAAAAAATTTTAAAAATTAGCTGGGCATGGTGGTGCATGCCTGTATTCCCAGCTACTTGGGAGGCTGAGGCAGGAGGCTCACTTGAGCCTGGGAGTTTGAGGTTGCAGTGAGCTATGTCACTGCACTCCAGCCTAGGCAACAAAGTGAGACACAGTCTCCAAAAAAAAACAAACAAAAAAGAAAATAATTTCTAATGTCAAAGCATCCTTGCATTCTTAGAATATAAACCACAAGAATGCAAAAATCCTAACCATTTTCTTTACTTACATGTGTTTTTTACGTTTTAATGACGATTATATTAGCCTCATAAAATAAGCTGGAAACATCTTTTGTTTGTCTATACTTCGGAAGAGTCTGAATGATATTGTAACAGCCTGTACCATGAAAGGTTGTCAGAACAAAACTTTTAAACCATCAGGCCTGTTGGCTTTTCTTAGTGGGATAGAAGGTACAAATTTTTTTAAGTCTTTTTCAATGTATTTTTATGATTATTAATTTGTTTTTTTCTTCTTTTTTAGTATATTTAATAATTTCTATTTTATTGCATTATGAAGTTGTTGACTTTCTATTTGTCCTAGACCAGTGCTTTGTTTCTTCTCAGGTCTCACCTGGGCTGCAGTGGCTGCAGTCTGGAGGAGGCGGGACTCTTCCCACAGGCACCGGGCCACAATTCGGGCAATCTCCATTGGCTTCTCAAGATACCTGCTCTATAGGTAGGAGAGAAAGAGAATGAAAATTAGCAGCAGACTATGAAGATGTAGACTGAACTTTGCTAACTTAAAACTAATTTCCTCATCAACTGAGGAGAACATGACATGTATTACATGAAACAGCAGAACAAAGGCCTCAGAGCCTGTGTGAAACCAGTGGAGGGTGAAGGGGAGAGGAGGAGAAAGGTGGTTAAGTGAGTGGTGCTGTTGCTGTGAGAGAAGCACATGAGTCTGACTCTTTGGACGGTACATCATCCTGGTCTTACGGTGGGTGACTAACTTGGTCAAGGAGTATCCCATTACAGTCAAACTAACATTGAAAAGTGGGAGTCATCTTCCTATGAGGGGACCTAGTTACTATGATGTTATTAACATGCTAATATGACCAACATAACAATCACTATTACTTCAACTGTGGCAAGAGAAGTGAATCTCAGGTAACAGTGCCAAGGGTGCCCAGAGATTTGAGATAGGGCTAATTACTTCTCCTTTGATTGAAAATACAAGCTAGGTTCTGATTATTGAGCCAAATGAGAAAAGAAATGCATCCAGGAAGGAAAGCTAACACCCTGCTCCACAGTTTCTCCTACGGAGTGTTTCCTCACACCTGAAGGAACTGCTTGATTCTTCGCAGATTGTGCTGATAGAGAACATTTGACTCTTGCAGGAAGCGGCTATATTGCTGGTCAATCTCACCCAGCAGATTATGAAACACCAAGGTGGCATGTGATTCTTTGCTGGCTGCATATGCCCTAGGAAAAGGAAGAATGATGAAGAATGATTTCTGAGCCTAAATACACACACAGAAATCACTGTCAAGAAGGAGAAAACAATATAAGACAAATCTGATGTTGTACTCCATCATTTTAGATTCTCTTGCTCAGCAACAATAAATGCCATCAATTTTATAATTATTAACAATTATCTCAAATATGATTAACCACTTCCATAGT